CACTCATTATCATTCCTGCCCCTACCCCTTCCCCCATCTGCCCTGTTACTGTTGAACAGAATAACATTAACTCTCCCAGGTATCTACGCTCACAATCTTGGTGCCATCCTTTACTCCTCACTCTCTCTCACCTCCCATATCCAATTTGTTGGCAAGTCTTGTTGATTTTACCTCCATAACATCTCACATATGTTCCCTTCTCTCCTCTGACACTGCTACTACCCTGGTACAGGCCCTTATCACCTCACCCTTATATTTTTTGTATTAGCCTGCTGGTTGGACTCCCTGCCTATCTCCACAATCCAATTCATACTCCACTAGAGTATTTCACAACTCCATTCATTTTTCATTGTCTGTTCCTTATACCCAAAATGTTCTCTTTCCTCAGGTCCCAGATAAAGCCTCACCTTCTATAGGAAGACTTTCTTGATCCTCCTTAATATTAGCACCTTCCCTGTATTCATTGTTCCCAATTTGTCATTTAATATACCTTATTTGTACATAGTTGTCTGAATACTGTCTCTTCCATTAGACTATGACTCCCCAAGGACAGGGATTGTCCTTTTTCTGTATCCCCAACACTAAACACAGTACCTGACACATAATGGGCACTTGTAGATATTTATTGACTGACTAATCTGACTCCCAAGGCCATACAGGTAGTGACAGAAGCAGGATAGAATACAATATGGCACAATTGAAATAACTTTGGCCTGATGGCCTGAGTTTAAATATTATCACTACTATTTACTTCTTTAGATTCAACCTCTGTTTTTTTCATCCAAAAGAGGGCTTGGAATAGATCATTTCTAAGAGTTCTTCCAGATCTAAAACCTAGTGTCTTTTAAGTATCTCAAGATACACATTGGGTTCAAATTTGTTGTGTCACAGAAAGCTGTCCTCTCACATGATTTCTGGAAGGAGGCATATGGAACAATGAGAAAGAAACACAACTATCCTGCCAAATGAGCCAAATTTCACAGAATTCTTGGAAATCAGTTGGATGACAGAGATGTTCTCATAACCAAATTTGTTAGTTAACTTGCCAATTTTTTTTTAATTAACATGATAGCTGAAAAAAAAATTCAAATGGGCAGGTCACATATTCTTTTTAATTTGTTTATTCATTTATTTATTTTCTAACTTTTTATCAGTTCCAGTGAATCTGTTACCAAGATATGGGATGTTATATTAAATTGAGGTCTACCATTAATAGTGATATCAAAGTAAGGAATGCAGGGCAACTGAGCTTTGGGTTTGCTTATAGTTTTGAGCTGCCTACATGCTGTCTGGTTGGTTTCCCATCTCTGATATGCTTCTAGGGCAAGGAAACCTCAGGGATTAGTTGGGGGAAGCCACATAGTAATGCATCCTGCACTACACGATGTAAAAGTGCATAATGTGTAAGTGTGATGCATGGAAGTTTCCAGAAATTTCTTGACAAGGTCTGGGAAGAAGGGGCATGTATAGAATAGAAGAAGCTTTCCTCAAGCCATGGCACCCAAAAACATTCATAGAGGCTTATTGAAATATTATGAATATCAAATTTCATAGTAAATATGGTGGATAATACTAGCATTACCTTGCATTTGGCCTTCAAAATGTATAAACAACAAACTGATAATTGCATGTATAATTGGTCCAAAATACGTTTTGAGCTGCTTTGCTAAATTATTTACATAAGTCGTTCATTCCATGATTGGTTTTATTTGGAATTTATTATTTGCTTTTGTTGATGTGCTCTTGATTTTGATTATACTGTCTTTAATTCTTATTTTAATGTGTCTTTCAGTACAATATAAAATTAAATTGATCAATTAATAAATAAGTAAATAAAGCAGGCACAATTAGAGGATTAGTACTTTTGTTTGAAACCAGCCCTGGTAACATGATTCATTCTGAACCACATAATGATGGAGGATAAAAAAGAGGAGATAGGCAGGACCTTGTTGCAGCAAAAGAATGTGGCCACTGGATGGAGTTCAGGTACTCTTAGGTATTTTTTTCTGATGTGTCTGCAGATGTGTTCCCCCTTTGCTGTTTTGTTTTGTGGCAGAGCCTTATGCACCAGAGTAGATCTTACTGCTGATATGCCTAAAGTCTGAGGAACAGAGTCAAGAGAAACCAAAGAACTGACAATAATGAATGTGTATCACATGTCTATAGAGTAATAGATTTAGAGCTGAACATGATCTTAGGGATCACCTATTCCAACACATTTTACAGATGAAGAACCTTAGGCCAAAGAGGTTTATGTGACTTGTTCAAGGTAACAGTAGACGCAAAACTGGAGAGAGAGGAAGAGGGAAGAGAAAAACCCAGATCTCTTCTTACTCTATATCCAACATTCTTTTTACTGCACCTGCTAAAGGTGATTTTTTTTTCTTTCACAGCATCTTCTGAGGCATTTTCTTGCCCTTAGGATATGGTGTGCTAGTATCAGAGTACATGCATGTTAATTTTTATTGCTTTTCTCTTCCTAATAAATATTTTAATATATGATATTTAGAATGATGTAAATAGCAAGGAAAAGCTGGGGAAGATTTGTGTGTTTCTATAAATTAAGAAAGTAGTTGCCAATTCCAAGCTTTAAAATGTCTGTATGTCTATGTGTATCTATGTAATACATTAATATCTAATATTTATATAGCATTTTAAGTTTTATAAAGCATTTTACAAAATTATGTCATTTCATCCTCACAACGCTGGAACGTAAGTGCTATTGTTATTCCTATTTTATACATGAGAAAACCATAGCAGACAGAAGTTTAGTGATTTACCCAGGGTCACACAGCTGGTAAGTTTTTGAGAGAGAATTTGAACTCAGGTCTTCTTGACTCCAGGTCTAGCACGCTAGACATTAAATGACCTAGCTCTTTGCAAAGCATGACTTGAAAGTCATAATAAAACTATGGCATTGTTTCTGTAGGAGAATGACGTTGTGAGTTTAGCAGAATATACAATTTCTCCTTGCTCCATTTTTAAAGAAATAGTAGAAGTCTCTGACAAAGCACAGGGAAACCAAAGACCCAAGTTTTCTTCCTGTTCATTAAATTCATTTTACTTACAAAGACAAAAACAATAAGGCTATTGCACACCGTTCTAATAATACTTGCTACTGGGGAAGGAACTTAAATATGTTTGCTATCACATGTGCCTTCATTTACTAAATGCTTTACATTGGTTTATCACAGGAGCTGTAATAACCCAGTCCTACAGTTGTCAATAATTAAGCCTTATGTTTCAGCAAGGTTAACTTATGATGCCTTTGACTTGTGTGGTGGTGAATATATATATATGTGTGTGTGTGTGTGTGTGTGTGTGTGTGTGTGTGTGTGTGTGTGTGTGTGTATGTGTGTGTATATATATATATATACTTATATGTGTATATATATGTATATACATATATATATGTATATACATATATATATGATATATATGTATATACATATATATATGTATATATATGTATATACATATATATGTATATATATGTATATACATATATATATGTATATATATGTATATACATATATATATGTATATATATGTATATACATATATATACGTATATATATGTATAATGTTAGTGGTGCTCAGTTTCCCTTCTCAGGAGCTACTTGATAGATAGGTACTCTTTTCTCCATAGTAGGGGTTTTTAATCTGGAGCTCATCAAATTGGTTTAAAATACATATTTTGATAACTGTATCTCATTATAATCGGTGCCCTTTGTAAGCTGAGCATTTTATTTAAAAACATTCCATTCCATTTAAAAACATTGTTCTGAGAAGGGGTCTGTAGGCTTCAGATAGATTGCAAAAGGATTTCATGGAACAAAAAAAAGTTAAGAAACCCTGTACTAAATAAAATATACTGGACTGAAGGGAAATAATTCAGAAGGTCCCTCATGAGTGATAGAGGTCATTAGACAGGGATTTCCAACCAGAAAGTACAGGTATATGAAGTCACTCATGTTCTTTCTAATTTTTCTTAAGTGGGCCCACCCACTCAAACAACACATGTTTATTGATAAATATTAATAAATTAATAAATACTTATAAATACCATTCATGATTATCAATAGTATTATTTAATGTAATTGTATTATGTTGTACCTAATTAATACAATATAATTATACATTATATAATATAATTAATATATTATATTATTATTATTGCTACTGTTAATATATATATTATTGATAAATATTTATTGCTCTCAATTAATGTGTTTATTAATAAATATGTTTCAGACACTGTACTAGGTGCTAAGGATACAAATACGAGATGAAACAATCTCTACTTGCAAAGAGGGATTGCAACTCTTCAATTTTCTCTGAGAGACAACAAATATACACATGCATAAATATATACATATAGATAGACATGCATGCTTATATGTGTATATAGATGTTTGCATATGTGTGCATCACGTTGTGAGGTACTATGAAACCTTCAACAATTTTTGTGTACTTGGACTAAGATATGAATCATTTAACTTCCAAGCACAAAACTCTACAGAGCTCATTTTTGTAGTTGAATATGTTTTATGACAATTAGCTCAATAGTCTAGATTACTATTTGCAAAGAAATTTGGATTAATGCAGGGGTGAGGAACCTTTGGCCTTGAGGCCACATGTGTCCTACGTTCTTGGGTGCAGCCTTTTGACTGAGTCCAGGTTATACAGAACAAATCCTTTTGTTGAGGGGATTTGTTCTGTGAAGTTTGGATTCAGTCAAAGGGTCCCACTTGAGGACCTAGAGGGCCACATGTGGCCTTAAGGCCATGAGTTCTTCATCCCTGGATTAACGCAGTCTTTGGAAATCTGTGATCTTCAGTGGGAAAAGATTTGAATTTTTTGTCTGTTTTGTTTGGTTTTTAATTTACAGTGGTTATTCAGTAAACATCTCCTTTGATCCATCAAAGAACAAAAAGAAAGGAGTGACATTCCGAGCCAAAAAAAAAAAAGGAGAAGAAAAAGGAAAAGAAAAGATTGCCCTCTCTACCCTCCCTTCCTTCTTTTCTCTTCTTATAAAAAGGTCAGTGCATGGGTAATGGTCTTGGTTTGATTGGATAGTCTTTTGATATACAAGTGCTTTCTGGGTTGTCACAAAATAAGGAGACTACAGAGACATAGAAAAACAGATAACTAGAAAACTTCTCTAGACCTTTTTTAGAAAGTATAACTACAAAGTACATGTGTCTCAGCAGAAAATCTTCCAGCCGAAGAAGTCATTTCTTGCTCATGATAGGCTTAGAATAATCTTAGGTATTGATGATTCACATATTCATTTGTGTGTATATATATATATGTGTCTATTTATTAGCCATTTGCATTGACGTAGGTCTATGTGAATGTCTAATTTGAATGTGACTACTGAGTTAGGACACCTGGTCTCCAGTTCCTGCCCTGCTTCTACCTAGTCATGTGATGGTGAGCAAGTCATGCATACATCTCTGGCCTTCTGTTTTTCTCATCTGTAAAACAAGAGAGTTGAAATAGAATGTTTCTTTCAGGCTCAATGACTCTTTAATGTTTGTAATCTGTGATTCAATGCCTCAACTTATAAATATTACATGAACTGGATCTAATATTGATGGCCCCATCACCACCACCACCCGCATTCCCAAATCATATCTCTGATTTATTTTGCCACCATTTAGAGATCTCATTGGGAAACCTCCAAATAAACCTTCACAGATATTAATAAAGTGTCTCCATGTCCTATGCAAGTTCTCAAGGTAACTGTATATCAGATATAGACAGCCTTTATTTAAACTCCACAGAAAATGTATATGATTCATTTCATATGAAATCAATATAGTTTGCCTCTCTGTCCAGTGAGTACCACCTTCTTTGAAGGGGCCTATACAGTGCTCTAAATAAATACTGCTAGTTTATAGATTAGATTCCACTTGAAAGAGTTTTGAACTTGGGTTTGTTAGAGATAGTCCTTTAACATTCATTTCTTTGCTGTAGGAACCTGTGTCTCTCTTTCTGTCTCTCTCTAAAGGCAAAAACTGCCCTTCTGACACTTCTGGCCTAGCTTATGGACCCAGCACAAAGAGTTTGCTCCAACCCACAAGTCTTTCAGTCTGTTACCACTCAACGACCATCAAATTCCCAAACAAAGAATCTCCAACCTGTAAACTCATCAAGTTGACTCTTTGATAAACCCCCTAAGTATTCAACAAACTACTCACTCCTTCTGTCATTTCTTATAGTTTGCTAAACCTGAATTTGTCATTATACCTGAAACTTAACATATCTAAAGCCAAATTCTTCATCTCTGTTTTTATTGATGCTAGATAATTTGTAGGAAAACATAAAGATAACAATCCCAGCCTCTACTTAAAACAGAGAATTGTGCAAAGCAAAATTGGATAATATGTTTGGAACACATAAACTGTTATACACATATAAGTATTGTTATTATAGCATTCATGTTACTCAAGAGAGAGTCTATATTCCTTGCCCTCATTTCCTGAATATCCACTCATTTTCATGTTCAGCATCAGATGTGAAAGGCCTCCATGGAGAGAAAAGGCCAAGACATGGCCACCTGTCATTGATATCAAGCCATCTAATAGTATAAGGAAATTTATATTTGTCTGTCTGTCTCTCTCTCTGTCTTTGTGTATCTCTCTCTGTCTCTCTGTCTCTGTCTCTGTCTCTGTCTCTGTCTCTCTCTCTCTCTCTCTCTCTCTCTCTCTCTCTCTCTCTCTCTCTCTCTCTCCTGTCTAATTCTCTGTCTCTGTCTTCCTCCATGGCCCTTAGTACATATAGGTTTATATGAATGGCAGTGAGGAACCTATCTGAATATGAATTTCCCTAGGGCCTACCCAGGATATGTCCACAGATGGGAAGTTTTGATAGTTTAACTCCTCTTCCCTTGAGCATTTGATATTAAGAATCTCATTCATTGTGGCTCTAGAATGAGAGACCAGCTGTTTGCCCTTATGGCTCCAATCACACGTATCATCATGTTGCAGTTGTGAGAGATATATGAAAGTCTTGCTGATGTTTTTTAGATCAGTAAAAGAGTAGGTGAGGACAGGGCATGATTTCCTTTGTTTATGCAAGAGGTTCCTAAGAAAAGGAAAAATATCTTTTTTTTTTAAGAAGATAACATAGTGATTAAATTGCTGCTACTTGATGAACAATTATAAGAAAAGACCTTTTTGGTTCTAATGGCTCTGAATTGTTAAGTAACTTGCTAAGTTTTTTCATTTGTAAAACAAAGATAATAATTCCAGGCTCTACTTAAAACAGAGAATTTTGCAAAGCAAAATCAGATAATATGTTTGGAACAGATAAACTGTCTCTGAAAATTCTCTCCTCCCTTATCTTCTTTTCATTGTATCTCTCTGACCACCTCTTCTCCATATACATTGTTGTTATCCCTTCATCTTCAAGTCTCCCTTTGTAATTCTCTACATACCCACACTCTCCCTCTTTCTGGGATCTACTTCATTCTGTCATTTCAGTACAGGTGACTCTCTCCTTCCCAGACTTCTCTCTCAAGCTTTGGTTCTACATTTCTTATAGTTTGCCAAACCTGAATTTCTCATCATACCTGAAACTTAACATATCTAAAACCAAATTATTTACCTCTCTTATCATTGATGTTAGATAATTTTTTGGAAGACATTAATTATGTAGCCCTTCATTAGCAAGGGTTGATGAATTGGGAGGGAAGGGAAGAAGGCAGGAAGGAAGGGAGGAGAGAGGGAGGAAGGAAGGCAATAAAGAAAGAAGAGAGAGGGAAGAAGGGAGGGACGAAGGAAAGAAAATCAAAATGATTGGAAGCAGAACCATAAGATCTATAGGTCTAAGCAGAACTGTAACTAAGGCAGGGTAACAGGGCTTGTCCCAGAGTGCAAATATTTAAAGGGCTCTGGGAGCACTTAGTGACTCCTTTAACATGTAGAAGGGAAGTGAGCTCAGTTAACAAGAATAATTACTTAAAGTAGGAAATTATTAGATCCCTCCTCTAGTAACCATACTCCTGGTAGCTTCTTCCTGGCCTAGCCCAGACCTACTGCAACTCCCTGAGATAACCATTCCAGAACAAGCCCTTGTAGTTTCCTTGGTACCCTTGGGTGACCCAAACATAGAACATTAGATCCCAAAGTCTTTGGTCTTCTTCCACACAGAGTCACTTGAATTTATCTTCAAGTATTTGATTTGAAGGAACCATTCATGGTATATTGTGTGATGTTTGCTTTGGGCACCAGAATTTCTAGTTACAGTTTTGAGTCCAATTCTTCATTAATCTTATATTCCTTAAAATTTCTTTCTGAAGCTGAAAAACAAAGGTGGAAGCATAAACAGGCACTATGTTGAATAGGTAAAGTATGACTAGGAATGTGAGATATAGCTGGAAAGTACACTGTTTATCCAGTCAGGGTTTATGGAATGTTAGAAATTCATTTACCGGTAACAGAAGATAGCCAACTATGATTCCCTTGCTTCTTATGACATCAAGCTCCTTGCTATTAAAACACGCTCTAACAGAGCTTCTTCTGTTGACACTACCATTTTAGCTGAGAATGATTATAGTGGCTACCTTTATGTTAATTTTTAGATTGTCGAAGAACTATGCCCCATGAATGTTACTGAGAACTCTAGTACAAGGCACTGGGGGGAGGTACTCAAAAGGACAATGATTCAGCCTTTACAAACCTGGGATAATTGTAACCAAAATATGCTGATAGATTTTTCTGGGGACAGCAAATGTTTAGCTTGGTGGAGAGTACAGAAGGGTGTGTGTGTGTGTGTGTGTGTGTGTGTGTGTGTGTGTGTGTGTGTGTAAAAGGGACAGTTATCAGGATACCCCTCATCGGTTTATTTTCCTCCATTCCAGTTAATGAAGTAATACAGAAGGGACAGAAAAGAGAAGAAAGGAACAAACATGTATTAAGTACTTACTATCTACCAGATATTGTACTAAGTATTTTACAAATATTATTTCATTTGACAAATAACAATGAATAGAGGTAGTGAATGAAGTGTAAAGATATTTTTCTACTGTGTTACTCCATTATAAAGTGTGAAGAATTTCTCATTTAAAAAATTGTTGCAATTAGAGGGCAGTGAGCATCAGATAATCAAAGACTGGACATGACTATATAAAAATTGTAAAATGGAGACGGTTTCTGTGTAAGAAGTTCATAATCTACAGTCTGTGAATTTGTTTTTAAATGTTTTAAAAATGGATTCTGATGTAATCTTACACATTTTATTTTATGCATTTAAAAACATTATTCTGAAAAGATGTCTATGGGCATCACCTGACTGCCAGTACAAAACAAGTTAAGAATCCCTGCTATAAGGAGTCAGTCAAGACAGGAGACAACAATGAGAAATATGAGTACCAGAAGATAATAGTTATGGAAGATCATAGTGAAAGGGAATCACTCCTCACCAATTTGGGAGAAGATATTTCTCCCTCCCCTTTATTCTTATCTTCTACTCCCATCATCAGCCACAGGACCTTATAGAGGAGCTACTTACCCACTAAGAGCTATCACATCCATATCCAAGGTGTTATAGTGGACAAAGTTTGTGAGCCAAGAGTAATTAGCCCTAGTAATTAGCCTTAGCACAGGCTTGCACAACTTGCATTCTACGGGCCATGTATGGCCCTTGGGCCACTTGGAGCAGGCCAAAGGATTTCCAGTGGCCCATGAAGAATGTAGAGGAAAACATCCTTTGTATGTAAAGGAAATCTTTTGGCATGCTGCAAATAGTCCAAGGGCTGTAAGGAGCCTGCAGGTCACAAGTTATGCAGTCCTGCCTTAGCATTAGGAGTTGAACTGAGTCCAGAAAAAACATTACCCAGAAGAGTAAAATGAAAAGGGATAGGACATGGAAGCTCTGCAGTATCAGAGGAGTGAGTAGCCTTGGCTATATGTGTTCCCTACTTGTATGACTCTAGCAGAACTATTACTTTCCATTCTGGACACCTTTTAGTACATTTTTATATTTACTACATCCTAAGATTATATTCACATTCTTTCAGTTGTCTTGTCACAA